CCGCGCGCACAGCTAAGAAGACAGCACGTCATTTACTCTGGTAAATGCGAAACATTTTTTTTTTTACAGTACCTCCGCAGATCCGAAAAAAAAAATAATAAAAAATACCAGAGAGGCTGCACGCCGCACAAGCTGAATGTGAAGCTCCAGGCTTGTTTCTGAACGTAAAGGACGAGCGTGTTGTTAATAGTACTGAAAATAAGGGAGGGGCAAGGGACGCACAACAACGACAGACGTTGTACTTTGTAGGGTGGAAAGTTGGGCTAGTTGGTAGTTATTCATCTTGGTTTTAAAAGCGCACAAAAGACGAGGACAGAGTAAGAAACACAAACGACGGACGAGCGCTCACTCGCAACTGACAGGTTTTATTGGAACCTGCCCTCGTCTTTTGTGCGCTTTTAAAACCAAGTTGTACTTTGTCGTTGTCCCCTTGTCCCTTCCTCATTTTCAGCATTGCTTTTGAACATATAAATCTACATATATATATATAAATATATATATATATATATATATATATATATATAAACAACTTCGAGGCGCTGTTATTTATAAGAAAAATCAATCACAAAGACCTCATACTTGTTCCTTTAATAAATAAACCCTTTTTAATCGGCATGGATGCGAACTAACATAGCCACTGCGTGCTTTGACTCCGTGCGTCGTCTGCTCACACCTTACCAGCTCCGTCACAGGAGGGCGACCGCGAGGTGGCGCCACCTAAACATCGCCCTGTTTCGTGAGCTCGAAATTTGGCCCTGCAATCAGATTTAAGCGTCTACCCTTTTGGGGTTTCCACGTCTCTTGGGGTTCGGGCAAGCCAGCGGACACGGAGAGAGTAGCTAAATATTAGTGCGTCATATTTTAACCGGACGACGCGGAAATTTCCTCAACCGACGAGGGCGACCCGCGGTACCGAAAGCGCGCAAAATGTGACGTCTTTGGTCCTGGGCTTACTACTGGTTAGAGCCGCTAAAAGCTTCTTTTTAGTCGAAATACAAAATATAAGTGGCGCGAACCGTTTCAATTATTTATAAAAGTAGTTCTTGTTCAGTATTTTAGATCAAAAAAGAAACGAATGCAGTTCATAAAGTACGGAAACAAGAAATGACCCGTCGACATACCCGCCACCAAGCGGTGGAAAAGGCGGCGCATACTAGAGAGGAGTAGTGGGATCAGGCGCCGACACTGATCTCTATGACAATTGCTGGATCGCGCTTCCCCGCTTGTTCGCTGCAGCGCAAGTGAAGCCACCGGGCTTCACTCGCTTGGGATACGATTTGCCGTTTTTGCTAGCCTTTGCTGCGGTTTTCCAGCGTGCTGACGACACGTTTTCTACTCGTTCGTCGTCATTCGCCGAAGAAGTTTTTTGAAGACTCTGTGTATTGTTGAGACTTTCCGTTGTGAACACGTGGAAAATTTTACGAAAGTGCAGTGTCGCAGGAAAAAGGCACAACGCGTCGAAAGGAAGGGCTGGCGGCGTGTTCAAAGCATCCTTGGCACGCCGAAGTGCCGTGTCTCTGTGCCTTCGCACGCTTGGATACCGACCAAGAACCGACGCCGTGTGTATGTGTTCAGCGAGTGCAATGTGCGTGAAGCTGTTCGTGCCTCTGGATCAGCGTCTTTTCCCCTCGCGGTTTAGGAACGAGCTTAATCCAGCGTCCACTAGCGACGGAAGATGGGGAGAAGGTACGTCTTTTTTTCGTCCTTAGACGATTTACACAATACCGTGCACAACAGCTCCTCATCACTGATCAGTGCTGGCTTATTATCAACCTACGCGACTCGCCTAATTGTAATTGGTCAACAGATTGCACACGACCATATCGGCCGCGCTTCAAAGATTTTCACTCTCGCCGTCTTTTACATTTGCTTTCGAAAACCCCCCTGGCTCCACGTACAACGTTGCCCTATTCGTGCTCCCACGGAATCTATTAGAGTAGATTTGGGACATAGCCACGGTTAATATAGTACATAAGAATACGTACAGATCTCCCCCTTTTATTGATAGCAACTCACCGGAACAGCTGGACGATCCAGAACTCCGTGGCCGATATATATAAATGATCTAAAGGCATCTACGCGCGACACACGTTCAGAACTTTGGCGCGGCGTCAATTCTTGACCGGTATCCAAGCGTGCGAAGGCACAAAGATGCATCACTCGGCGTGCCAAGGAAGCTTTGATCACGCCGCGACACCGGCGACACGTTTTCGACGTGTTGTACCTTTTGATACGGCTTCACGCACATTGCACTCGCTAAACACATTCACACGGCGTCGGTTCTTGGTCGGTATCCAAGCGCGCGAAGGCACAGAGACACGGCACTTCGGCGTGCCAAGGATGCTTTGAACACGCCGCCAGCCCTTCCTTTCGACGCGTTGTGCCTTTTTCCTGCGACACTGCACTTTCGTAAAATTTTCCACGTGTTCACAACGGAAAGTCTCAACAATACACAGAGTCTTCAAAAAACTTCTTCGGCGAATGACGACGAACGAGTAGAAAACGTGTCGTCAGCACGCTGGAAAACCGCAGCAAAGGCTAGCAAAAACGGCAAATCGTATCCCAAGCGAGTGACGCCCGGTGGCTTCACTTGCGGGAGCGGCAAGCGCGGCGCCGACATGAAAAGGTCCCGGATGTACGCGGCGGCGCTGCTATCGTTTGGGCAGGAGGATCCGACCGGCTCCGAGCGTTCCGGAGGCCTTCGGCGAGAAGCTTTGTCTTGCGGTTTGGCCGTTTCGCGGTATGGCAGCGCAAAATAGCTCCCATTCTGAACTGATCTTTACCTCGTGTTTGCTGTCGATTGTGGCCAATGAAGTGTCATGCCGAATTAGTATTTAATCGCGCAGCAAATGCAATGAGAGCCGCTCTGACTGCCCTCTGCATACAGCCTATCCAGAACACGCTTCGATGGCGCCCTCTCGCGCCGTCGACTCGGAGTGCGGCAGCCGTGAGCACTCGATGAGCTCACTACTTCTCCTCTAGTTCACGGCCACTCTCAAGCAACCAAGGACGTCATGGGGGAGGTTATTTTTTGCTTGTTTTTGTAATTTTAATTTGCCTATAACTTTTAAAATAAAGGAAATTTCGAGAAAAGAAAAGTTCCACTAAGTTACTACGCTCAGTGCGCTCAGGTTCGGTGCAAATTAAGAATTAGTAAAACGGCATTGAGGGCCCCTTTAAGTCGGTTTACCTGGACCACCGTGCCCTGGACCCAACGTTACTTTGCCTGGAACTTAGCACTGCTGGCGCTGCAGCACTGCAGCGACCAAGCGGGAAAGCTTTCTGAAGGTCCGTAGAAAACACGAATGATGCACGTTTTTTGGAAAAAAACAACGTGTTAATTTTTAGACGAAAAGTTTAAAAACTAATTTCAGAACCATGTGAACCATATGAGTAACCTCTTGTATTGAAAGCACACCCCGAGAAGCTGTCGCGAAGCTTGTATGTATGTATGTAATATATTTCCTTCCATAAATCCCTACATGCAAGACGGCGCGCGTTGCACACTGGGAACTAGTTGGCCATGGAGGCGAGTGGCATGGTTTCGGTTTCGATCGACACAATTAACGGCCGTTATCTCATGTTTTCTGGCCCCGAGAGCGTCATTTTTGGTCCCTAAACTAACCTAAATGGCCAGACCTCGAAGCTTTAGCACAAGCCCATGCTTGTTGTATTTTCGTACTTGAGCTTTCTGTTAGCGTTTCGAGGTATGTGGACGAGCCAGTGCTGGGAATCTCGACGTTGCGAAGCTCGGGGATCTTTCTTGTGTACAAATCAACAAGCTGCAGCAACCAATAAGTATGCATACATCGAGCTCGCGCCTTTAGATTAGTATTGTTGGTCAGGAAGTTTGTTTCATGCGTCCATAGACAAAATATAACTTTTTGCAATTACTGTTTTTCCTAATACGCCTGAGTACGCGAGGTAAAACTCAGAGGCGCCATTGAAAAGCTCCATTTGAACACACTTCTTGCCTCTTATCTGTACTGACCCGCAGCACTGCACGAAGTGAAGTCACCACCCGCTTGCAATCCACTAATATTCAACATCGCGTATGCGCATAAAGTTATCCTGCAATCCTATAGGCACATTCGCACATACAAACCGTTTTAAGAAAGCAAAAGTCGAGCACTTGTGTGAAGGATGTCGCACCGTTCGTCGGAAGTGCGCCGACGGGTATGAACCTTTATGCGGTGCGCCAAACGAACAAAATTATTCAAAGCATACTTGACGGTTGCTAATGGCCATAATATTTGTTATCTGTTTTCTTTCTTTTTGACTGAGTATGCCGAGATAATTTCAGACACACCGTTCAGACACTGATCTTGGGCGTCAGTAAAAGCTCGTCCAAAAAGGCTTAGTGAGGAGTAGGGGACGCTTGTTAGGGCCCCCGTCGTAGCTAGCCGATCTCAGCGTTTGCGAAAACTTAATCCTCTATCAGCATAACATTTGAGTGGGAGATATACATGATGACACGAGGAAGACATCATAGTACCTTGTGTGCAGTAGTGAGGTCAAATTTATTGTGTTTCCTTAAATGCTCGTGCGTCAACGCTGGGCTCAACTTTGATACTCCTGCGAGGACGCTTGGCAAACAAAATACGTGTAAGGCTCAATGTGACCAAATATCAGTTGCAGTTACTGGTACTAGGCGGGATTATTGAAATTGAGCTCGAAAAAGCTTTCGAGGGGTGAGGTGACTAAGCCACGTCTTACTACGTTTGCATACGCTCGCACAATATCCGGTGTTTCGGAAACCAAGGAAAGTGCCCCGGTCTTCGCTCGAGAATTCAGATAATCGAAAAAGCAAGCAGCGCGTTTGGTCGCGGCGTGATAGCATGAGATGAAGCTGCTCAATCGAAACCAAAACTGAGTGGCCAACTAGTTCCCAGAGTGCACTGCGTGGTATTTCGCCGCGATGGGGCGCCTCGGTTTTGGAAAAAGTGTCCCAATAAAGAAAAGCTTGTGAAGTAAAAGTGCCGCCCCCACGCGGTAAAATTTAAAACTAGCCGCTTCGTTTCGCTGGCGCGGCAGCCATTTAGAGCTGGTCGTCTCCTATGTGTTGGTGGGCTGTTGCAATTTCATTCACGCGTTTTTTGATGTGATGCCACAGCCCATCCCTCATCAAATGATACTGTTTCAGGTAATTAATTTGGTTAATCGTATCCTCCGTCATTGCCGATACATTTCCTAGAAGAGCCAAGTGCGCCTGGCGTTTGCTTACAGTCGTGGATCTATCCTGCTCAAGATTCGAATCGCAATGACAACGATAGGCTTGCATCTCTCGAAATTTTCTGTGAAACAATGCATTACTAGCCGCTATGCTTGGCTAGTAAATTTTGCGATTCGTCTGTCATGCTGTTAATTCCCTTTAGCCTTAGTCCGTGAACAGGGAATACCTCGCAAATGGGACATTAGTTAAGTATTCGGCGTCGTTCCCATCCCTCACAACGGAACGTCATCTTTTAACTGATCCTTTGAGTGTTGGTTTACATTGTTATTGGCAGAAGAAGTGATAGTGCAACGCATTATTGAGCATACTCTAAGAGGTAGACTGGCAACGTCTTACTTGAACGGCTGTTAACGTTCCTTCAATCCCTCGCTATCGATGTGCAAACTTCAACTATTTAATTAGATTAATATAGCTGGTAAACAATGTAGGTACTTGCACTATAAGAGATCAAAGAGTTGGAGCACATAGGAGATGATTGCATCCAGTGATAATGACCAAGAGCCAGTCTCCTTTTCTACTTGTTTTGTCAAGATGTGAGAAGTGGCCTATCACCTTTCTGGGCCTGTTATAAGTGTGAGGTCTTTGCCTCTTGAGCTAATGGATGTCTGTAGAATTGCAACTTCGACGTGCCACAATGCATTCCTTGCCCTTGTAGACGTGTATACATGGCTTGTACATTTGATGTCATCGCGCATCAAGTGTTGACAACCATTGTGCTTTCTTGCCATTTGCCTTCAAGGGCCGCTCATTCCAGTGCTGCACCACCATTTGCTTCCATCCAACGGCAGCAGAAGCCTCTTGCATTGGCACATTTTTTTGCTACCTCTAATACAAACACATACACATCGAGCAGCATTAGTCATTCCTATTTGGTCTTGCTGAAGGAAGCAAAATTCGGTAGTGTGAATTGTGCCACACCCGGCAACAGGATCACCATTATGGCGGCCAATGTGACTGCCATGCAAGCCATGCATAGTGCGTGACACTGTGACTTGGCAATTTCTGTTCTAATATGGTGAGTTTTGGTTTTCTGACAGAGTTCGGTTGAGCCGATGCAGGTGGATGCTCAGCCCGAAGACAATGAAGCGACAGAAGAAGAGACTTACGTTGTCGAAAACCCGTCCCTGGTAAGTTCCCCTGTTGCAGCTCATTGGTGGCCGGTGGTGTGAACTCTTGATGAGTCTAACATTCAACGCTCTCGGTTGCCGGTACATGACATTCTCTTTAGGAGTGGACCTGGAGACTCGACTCTTATGTTGCAAAGTTGCGAACGAGGCAACTTGATGTTTGTGGTTTCGACACCTTCCAAATTCTATACGGTTCTTGATTTCCTGGAGCAGTGGAGCCAAACGACAGCACTAGCAAGTGATATTTTTCTAGGGTCTCGAGAGACTCGGAAGATTGCAGTTTCTGGAGTAACTCTGTGACTTGTGGTGCATAGATGGAAGGGCCATCAGAAAGGTTCACTGGATGTCTGAAGAGGGGGAACTGGTGGCTGAGTGTGTCAATGCATTGCAGCTCAAAGGACGTGTAGCGAAAGCTCGCGCTGCAGGATCCAGGGATCCCGGGTTCAGTCCCCACCCCCGACCGTTTTGATCTGGATGAACCTCGCATCGGTATGCGTCCGTGTAATGACTACTACGGGGTGCACGTTAAAGGCTTTAGGCTAACGGTGGCAGCACATCGCTAGTCTGAGGTCTGAATATTTTCATCTACAGCAGAGATGCCAGATGCTGACTGGGGCCGATTAACTTGCCGCCGCCTGAACACGTGCACGACGCAGTTACTTTTGCGTTGGAAGAAATGTGTCGCAGAACCACCTGTTTTTGCTCAAACTGCGTAAAGATTGTTTTCTCTCTCGTCAAGTTACAAGTCGTCCGACTTGTGTTTGTAGGACCTGGAGGCCTACTCCAACAGCTATGGAGGGCTGGCACGACTGTACCGTCTCCTCTACATCGCGGACCACTGCACCTCTCTTCGCGTGGAGGCGCTGCGAATGGCCCTGACCCACGTGCAGACGACGTACAATATCACTAAGTACCAGGAGATCCACAAGAAGCTGATGGACGCGGCCGGGTAAGTCGCCGTCGTCGGCCGCCAATGCTGGCCTGACCAGTCAAAGACTCGTTTTACGGCGTTGGCTGGTATGGGCTCTTATCCCCACTGGAAACGACATCCTGCGTTGGTGTTGTGGTCTCCGTAGTGGGGCACAGGGTATTTGTTGTCTGTGTTGTCTAAACCTCGTAAAAAAATTGTCCGCCGCCTGCGGAATTTGAACCTGGGTCCGCATTGTGCAAAGTGGAGGTGTTACCACGGAGCCACGCCACGGCGTTAGCAACCCGCTCTATACTTAGGATTTTTTTAGTACCCAGTGCCCACTGCACGCGCTCTGGAAAAAAAAACAAAAAGGAATGGCCGACAGCAAAACAAAGCGTTCGAAACAAAATAGGCGGATGTCTGTTTTGTTCCGAATGCTTTTGTTCACAAGCGCCACGGTGCGTGAATGCGACGCTGATGCCCAATGACTTCGTCGCGACAAAGTCCTTTAGTGACTGCACTGTCGATGAACACAAGACTGCTAATTTCTTTAACACGTAACATGTTTCATCGTCCGATTTTTACGGCCGGCTGTAACGAAAAGCGTTTTGCCCATAAGGTCCTTCAGCAGGACTTGAACTCTCCACCTTGAGATGGTGAGCCGGGTGCTTTGCCGGCTGAGCCATCCTGGATCGGCGGCTGCTAGCGTGCAAAAGGGAACCGTTGGCGGGGCGTGCGAACTTTCCCGTCGTGCTGCGCTATCTCATGGCGTGTGTCAGAAACAGGAGAGAATCTCCGGTGAGCGGTGCCATTCGGACGCCCTTCTCTTCTTCCCTGGAAGGCCTATCGCACATGTTGTGCTTACCGGTCTTTGACAGCATGATCCAGTTTGTATAGTTTTTTTTTTTCAGGAAACATATAATTAAACTTTATCTGATGTCGGCAGTTTTCACGAAAATTGAACGACACATTGATTTGGCCTTTAGGTGGTGTTTCTTGTTCTCATCATTGTTTCATACCTGATGTGCTAAATCAGTTGTTCTTTACTGCGTGGCGTTGTTGTAATGCTAAAGGAATGCACGAGTGACACTGGTCATTGGTAGCCAAGGGGTTAAGCTTGACATGCAGTTGCGGACAAAATAAGCTGGAACTCGAACTTCGGAAGCCAGCTCCCATATTTTATTTTTCTCTTAAGGCCCGTTCACACTCTTGTAAACGAGTAAGACCGAGAGAGACGAGACTTGTTAAAACCTCTTAAAATTTCTTAGGACGAGAGTACACACTGGCACGCTGGCGCCATCTATGCGGTGACCCTGGAACTGCATTTCAGAAGAGCGAAGGTTTCGCGGTATTTCTGAGGTCAAATGTGCGTAATACTTATATGAAAGGCTTGTTTATAATGTTGAGAAAAGTTGTTCAAGCCAAGGAAGAAAAAATAATGCTCGAGAAAAATAAAAAATATGCCGGACCGCCAAGTTTACACCGCTACCCAATAGATGGCGCCAGTGTATCCTCTCGTTGTAAGAGGTTTCAAGGAACCCAGTTTTAAGAGGTTGCAAGAGTGAATGGGCCTTTAATCGTGGTGTGTAATCTCTATTTTCTCTGGAAGGAAAAACACGTGATAGAAACAAAGATGTAGTAAGGCCTTCCCGACTACTGTGCAGTTGCAGTGTGCTTTTGATTGGACTTGGGGAGGCGTCTTTGTTTGCGGACAACTTATTTTTTAAATAGTCCGTTGGCTCGAAACATCTTCCCTCTAGCAGACGAAAATATAGTGGTGGCGCCAGCAGCAAAAAATCGGACGTGGCTTTGGATGCCCTCGTTGAACAGCGCTTATGGAAATTTCTTCATCCTAGTACATGTTGCGATGTTCAACCTACGACCAGGCGACGGGTGTAAAGGCAGGGCAGAGTGGGCGAGTCTGGTTTTTGGGGGAAATTGTGGAACTTTTATCATTTTATTTTGTGTTTTAAAATCAGCAGCCTTTACTGATTTGTTATCTGTTTGGTTCCACAAACAAGTTTTTTTTAACACGGAAGGTGTTGAAGGGCAGGGATTCCCGAGGAAAGTGCAACAAAGTGTCACAGAAACTGTTATGAAATGTGTGACACCCTCTTCAGAGGACGGTCTGTGCACAAGGAACGGATAATTGAAAAGGTGGAACACTATTCTGTTTCAAACAGGCTGGACCGCTGAATGCGGGCGTCCGGCGTTCGAGCAGCGAGCAAAGACAAGAGGCAGCCAGCTTTGCGTCCGCCCACTATTCATTCTAACCGTGGTAACCAGGGCTTGGGGCTACGACGTCCACGCGTGCTCATCTCCACTCAGTTTCTATTTGTATAACCAAAAGAAAACTATCCAACCCAATCCATAGGATGAAAAAAGATTTTTTTTTATTAATACTAGGCTGTACTTGCTACAATGCTTCAGTGCTGCAGTTTATTTTTTATATATATTTTTTTTATTTAAAAATATTAAGGCGGTTGTTGCCACTGTCTGCAGGGCGTCGAACCTGCCGGACGTGACGGGGGCGGGGGGTGGGGCGGCCCTGCCCCCACTGGACAGCCAGTGGATTGAGACCAAGAGCAAGAAGGCGGCCCTGAAGCTGGAGAAGCTGGACACGGACCTGAAGAACTACAAGAGCAACTCCATCAAGGAGAGCATCAGGTGGGGACGCTCGCCGGGCCGCCAAGCCAGAGCCCTCGTTTGGAGGGTTCGGCCATTTGTTTTCAGAAGCCTTGGCTGAAACGACGAAGCTCTGTTGGTCGATCCATTGAACTGTTGGTTCTCGGATGGTGTCTCAGGGAGCCCGGTGGTTCCCCAGAACACTTTCGCGGGTTCCTGGGAGCACCTTCGTGGGTTCCTCGAGCTCCCAAATCTCCTTGACCGACCCTGCCGCCAAGTGAAGCGTATTTCCAGTTTAAGCGCCGTTTTAGCAGATCTGGGTCAGCCATTGGTGGTGCATAACCACGGCCAGACACTCTTTACTATTACAGTGCCTGGAATGTGTGCCGGACTGGTGTGTTTACCACGTCCCAAAAAGTGGTCCCTCGATTTCCACCTGACGGCGTCGTAGAAGTGTCATGCCGTCGTTGGCCGTGATCCTGACGGTGTTGCGACAGTGGTGGTGGATGTGACAGACGACTGCTCTGGTGTAGGTCACTTTCCAGTGTGACAACGAAAGCTTTGGCAGTCAGAAGTTGGGACACGATGACAACGGTGACACCCGCATTCTCTCACACTTATTATAATAAGTGCTAGCACTAACTGCCAGGATCGTGGCATCCGACAGCATGACACTCTGGCTTTTCTAGCATCGTTTGTCACTGCCCCGGGACCCATTTTTGATGCACGGGCGGGATGGGACGCTGAACACGTCAGTCAAAGACGCGTTCGAGGCACCACTATATGATGCAGTAGAACCTCTATATGGTAATCTTGTTGAGACCGGGGAGTAATATTACCATATCAGGAGTCTTACTGTATCAGGAGCACCTTAAGAAATCTGTTTTTGAAGCTATGAAAAGGGAGTGGAAATGAATAAACCGTTTATTAGTCCAAAAACAAACACCACAACTATAAAAATATCACTTACGTTACAGTAAACAACTCAGTTATACCAGCCTGTTCTTTTAGGTGCTCTGTACTTCACAAGGAAGTTGTCGAGGCTCGTCATGTGCGAATAGTGTTGCCCATTAACATCTGCTGCATTTAGAGCCCTCACAACTGTCCAAAGCAAACAGGAGTTAACATCTTGTAGGTTGGGTTTAGGTTCTTTCTCTGGACAACACTTGCTCAGTTCATTATTCCACGGATGCATTCTAAACGGCGTCTTCATCGCCTGAATTCTGATAAAAACTTGATAAAAACTAAGGCGGTTCCCCGCCTTCAGACGTTCAAACCATGCGTCTGTTGCCTCGAAGTCTTTTTCTCTCGCAACAGGTCCATTGATTAGCAATGCACGCTTGTCGAAACCATTCAAGCAGCGCTGTGTCAACATTCTTCTTTTATGGACCTTCGTAGCCTTTTGCAGTTTTCACTTTTCCATTGGCAGTTATATCCTCAATACGCTTCCTGTTTTCCACCAAGGCCAACACCGTTGCCACAAAAACGCAGAATTTATCCGCTGTTTGCTTTCGCATTCAGTCGTTACCTGCTTTTTGAAGGAGCGTAGTTCAAGTATGTTGCAGATCAGTCGTGATGCACAGTTCAGCCCCAATTACCCTGAAAATGGCGGCACCTTCTTAGTTTTGTTAGGCATATTGTTCTGATATGGCAGATGATTGCGGGCCTGCAAGAATGAAAACAGTCACGAACGACCGCAGCACCACTTAGAAAGCTGCCGTCATACAACGTAGCACTTTAGCCTGTAGCGCTTTTGTAATTAATGCACACTTTAGAGTTTCTAGGAACCAGTCTACACCGATCTCACCGAGAAATTATGCTGTTGTGGGGAAATAACATTTCATCAGCACTGCTGTGTTTTACTATAACTAGTATTCCGAGTGTTCACAGTGTGCTACATCAGAATTTCGGGCCACAGAGGAAATGGGAAATCAGTCAGGACCGACACTTCCTTTGACTATAACCGGAGCTTTACTGTATACTGAGTTACTATAACAAGATTCTGCTCTATGCAATATTGTTTACTGCATCTGTCCGCTTCTGCACTCTTTCATTGCATGAGTTACGAAAACGGGAGAGTCCGTTGCTGTCAATCGAGAGATATGGGCATTTCCCTAGATTCAAAAGTTTGAGAGGCTCTGCATTGGACAGTGGGGTTGGCTGATCAATTGTCGCATAGGACCCGAGCCTCATGCGTTTGCATACCGTAGGTTCCCTTGGGTAAAGTGCAACCTACAACAGCCAGATCTCGGCGCAGATAAGTTTTGTCATTGGCTGATCCCAAAAGAATGAAGGGCCTCTTTGTAGCACCCTGCCAGAAAGCGAATGCAGAGGAAAAGTTGCGCCATCGGCAGGACTCAACGACACTCGTTTCCATGCCTCAGCAAACCTCACTCATAAGGGCCCTCACTCACTCTCTCACCCTCATCTTCACAGGCGAGGTGAGGGTGAGTGGGTTTCTGAACCCCGAAAATTCATGAGTGTGGGAGTGAGGGAGGGCCACGAGGGCTGTGAGGACCATGAGGGGTATGAGGGCGGTGAGGGCCGTGAGGGCCATAAGTGTGTGAGGGGTATGAGTGCGTAAGGGAGGTGAGGGATGTGTGAGGGCTGCGAGGTTGAGTGAGGGTGAGTGAAGGGCTGAAGGTGAGTGTGACTGAGGATGAGGGTGATGAGGGGCTGAAGGTGAGAAGCTGTGAAGGTGAGGATGAGTGAGGAGCTTATGTGAGCGACTGTGAGGACAAGGGTGAGTGGGGGCGACCTAAAATGCTGACCTCTGCTCGTTGCTAGGTCTCCAAACATACCGAGAGGCTCAAGACACGCGTGTTGCCGCCCTCGCGCAGGCGGGGCCACGACGACCTGGGGGACCACTACCTGGACTGCGGGGACCTGAACAACGCCCTCAAGTGCTTCTCCCGGGCCAGGGACTACTGCACCAGCAGCCGTCATGTTGTCAACATGTGCCTCAACGTCATCAAGGTGAGATGGGGCGACCTTGAACGCGTCTCCGACTGGTGTGCGTGCCCCATCCTAAGAAGCAGCCCCTCGATTTCCATCCAATGACGTCGCGCAAGTGTTGTGCCGTCGCCTGCTGCGATCTCGGCGGTGTTGCGGTAGCGGAGGAGGATGTGGCAGACGTCGGTTCCGCTGCAGGACAAAAGTTTATGGAAGCTTCGGCAGTCGCGATCCGGGCCGTTGCGGCGACAGCAACACTCGCGTTTGCTCGTGCCTTTTGCCGGAGCTTTCGTGACCGACTGCCGGGATTGCGACATCCGACGACTCGAGTCGCCGACTCCCGTGGTGCGACTTTGCCGCCTTTCTTTGGAAGCACTCTCGCGGCACAAACAGTGCGGAACGCCGAGTGGACTTGTCGAAGACGCGTTCCGAGCACCGTGACGTAGAATCACGCCGTCGTCCGGAGTCGCTTGCACCGAGAAAGTTAGCTCCAACTTTGTTAGATCAAGCAATTCTCGGAACTGCGCTCGGGAGGGGATCCCTTCGCGTGTCACCCGTGGGGGGCCGCATACTACTCCGCATTATGAGACGTTATCGTCGTAGACAGGCAAAATCCATCCAATGAGAAAGAGCACCGATGCCGGTTTGATGGGAGTGCAGTCGTCGTATCATCTGTAGACACATGTGGGCTGTCGGAGGACCTGCTGGACCGTTTTCCAGCAAGCCTCCGTGCTTGCATACATGGTCTCCCTTGCCTTCGCTTTCCTCTGTTGCGATTTTCGGAGGGAACCGTCCCGTACGACCAACATTCTCGGTACCTGCCTTTGCACAAAATATTTAGCGGGGCTGGGCGTCGATAAAAAACTTTAACCCGATTAATTTACTTCCTTTAGTCCATTAACGAATTGATTAATTGCTTTATTTCATTTCCACGCATAATAGTTAAAAAAGGTTGAAATAAAATTTTTTGCATTTGATGAATATGCGAAAAACGATACAATGTACAATTTCAAACTTTAAATCAACCTTGATGCGTAGTTGAGAAAGGACAAAAGATACCCATGCTCGCAAATTATTACTTTTTGCTGCAAAGGCGAAGAGACTCATAGATATTCTCTGGCAATGGGGAACTCCTTCGATTGCTCACAATAGAGTCTGCTGCGCTAAACGGACACTCGCACGCCGTTGAAGTGGTCGGGGCATGTATAAACGCTCCGCTCTTTTGGAATTACGAATTCTGCCCTTACAGTTTACTTTACATCTAAGTTTCACCTAAAGTTTGCTTTCATACAAGTGTACTCGTCTACGTCTGCATTGTGAAAGCTTTGAATTTTTACTTTTTTTCTCGTTTGTCAAAATTTAATGGATTAACCGGTTATTAAAATTAATTGCAGTAAAAGCATTAATTGATTAATTGGTAGGTTAATCAATCAAATGCACAGCTCTAGTATTTAGTCTTTTTTGCCTATTTTTCTCTGAGCATTGATGGTATGGGGCACCAAGAGCAATGAAAACCGATACAGCTGCACGGTGCTACCGTGTTCTGACAGGATGAGGTGTGTGGGGCTGCCTGTCATTTGACGTTTACAGGCCACCTCCCTGACAATGCACTTTACTCGAAAAAGGTTAATTCCAAACCAGTTTCTGCCGACGTAAGACGGCAGCTCTGTGGTGCAGCCTTTTTACATCGGCCGTGACACTGCTTGTGTCCTGTGTAGGGTTTGGTGTTTGGACAGACCTTTTAGCGAGATGGTGAACTAATTTTCCAAAGCTTTTGGGGCAATAGTTTTAAGCCTGTTTTGGACAAGGTCGCCATCTTGTCTGCTTCGTCCCATTGCTCCTTGTAGCGTGAAGAGCGTTGGCATTTGTTTGTTGACGGATGCGGGTGTTGACGTCTGCGCAGGTGAGCGTCTACTTGCAGAACTGGTCGCACGTCCTCACCTACGTGAACAAGGCGGAGGCCACCCCGGAGTTTGTGGATGTACGTTGGGCCTCCTGCTTTGCTGCTCTCCTTTTTGTTTTTGGACCCCGTTTGTTTTAGCATTGTTTTAAACACTTGCATGATTAAAAGCACTTACGGCTTTGCTGAGGCGGACATAGGTTTTAACAGCTGACAAAACATCTGAGACATAGTTTGTATGTGGCATTGTTGCATCATGCTGGTGGTCTTTCCTACTTGTTCTTGTTGAGAAAAGCGAATTCAATAGTATACTTTTGAAGGTACATGTTCGGCAGCAGGGCAACTGCAATGGCGGCTGATGTGACGTCTGGGCAAGCCATGTACAGGATTACACAAACTTGGCGTCTTTTTCTCTGTTCATATTTTTTCTTATATATAAACAATGCCTTATTGGCATCATTATTGTATTTTTTTAGGTCCGTGTGGTGAAGTATTGACAATTTTTGGTATTATTATAACAACAAAAATGGAGCTGTCTGATTGATGCTATTCTTATAGTTCTCCAGAGGAAGCATGGTGTGCATTGATCACTTGCTTTATTAATGAGTGGGCCAATTTTTGATGTCACGTAAAGGCTTTTTTCAGCATAAAATAATGTTAGAACAGGCATAAAAAGCGTCGCCACAAATGCCATATATTTTTTTAAATAAAAATTTTATACATATATAAAATATATTAAAAAATATAAAAATTAAAATTTGTATATATTTTTCGGGAGTTGACTTTAGCAACTCTAAGAATTAAATTGAATCAATCTCCATAACTCGGTTTCTACTAGTTGTTTAACATCTATTTGAACACTTGAAATCTGCGGGAAATGCGACGTCTCGATGTACGATGTAGTAATTACTCTTTCATAAATAGGGAGCTCTGTAGCCAGGGTCCAACTGTAGGGGGGGGGGGGGGGGCTCCGCCTCTGGTGCCAGCTTTCCACCTTCGATATCACTAGGGCTACTCGTAAGCACCCACAGCCAAATCAAAGAATGAAAAGCGATAAGCTTGCACTGGAACAACACTACCTGGATAGCGAGGCTCTGTTGCTGGATTTTCTACGTCCCCTATCCGAAGCCAGTGCATGGCACAGATCGAACACGAGCGATGCGCCAGCGATTGGCTCAGGCTTGCGGTTAATTGCAGGAGACTTGTGTTCCAGTTGAATGAGGAGGCAGCTCTTTCATCCAAAAACAGTGCCCCACGCCAGCCTCTGGTAGATGGTGCAGAAAGTCCAGCACTTATGACCTTGCTATTTAGAAAGCGTTGGTTTTAGACGGAGCTCCTGCTGCATTCTTAACCTATTACCAACTACAAAGATGCTCATTTCCCTCGAAAGGTGCTAATGAAATGCGAAGGTTGTGAGAGTAGTCTGACTCGTCTGCTTTTCTGTCTTTGACTCGTCTTTTGACTCGCCTGCTTGTCTTTGTCTTGACTTGTCTTTGTCTTTGACTCGTCTGCTGGACAGGGCCACGCCAAGGACACCCACCAGAGCATTGTGACCAAGCTCCGGTGTGCCGCCGGCCTCGCCGAGCTGGCGACCAAGAAGTACAAGTCTGCCGCCAAGAACTTCCTCCAAGCCAGCTTCGACAACTGCGACTTCCCCGACGTGAGTTCTTGTCGGTCCCGTCAAACAAAGCCAGTCTTGCATATATGTCTGTATGCGAGGTTTCCTGGGGCCCTAATCTACACGGCAGGACCGAGCGGGATCAAGGGAATGGGACATCACCGCCTGCTGCGATTGGCCAGCGCCACCGCACCGCTGACCAATTGCAGCAGACGGCAATGTCCTGGCCCCTTGTTCCCGCTCGGTCCCACCGTGTAGATTAGGGCCCCTGGTGTCTTGGGCATTTTTACGTTTCTACAATTTAGGGCACAAAGGTCGGACTGAACCGGCATTTATAGAGAGAATGAAACCCGCCTTTTCGGTCCGTACAAAGAAATAATCCGTCTCCAAAAGCTGAAACTCCATGAGAATGTGAACCCTAGCGGTGGTGACAAAATGCAAAAGTTTGAGCACATAACATTACCTGGATCAAAAGGCACGTAAGGAGAACGTCTCTCCGTGAGCCAACGTCAACCTAAGCCTAATATTTATCAAGCCGAAATTGGAGATTTTGGGTGCCTGCAGCATTTGCTATTGCAGTATAAAAAGACTTGTTGGCAAGAACGAAAACATTGTCTTTCTTACTGACAAGTTTTTTCATCGAAATAAATGCTATGGGCGCCCACAATCTCAAATTTTGGTTTGATGAATGTTGGGCTAAAGCGCATTTTACATGCAATGATTTTGCTCCTAGAGCGGCACTATTCACGGCACTGCAGTCCTCTGGCCAACCACAGGGACAGAGCGGCACGTGACAGGAGGAGAAATGCTGCAGGAAAGCGTGCCTGTAGGATGGCGTTTCCACATTTTGAGCAGACGACATGAGGAGAAAATGCGCAGCCAATCTGGTTTCTTGTGCTGGGTCCTTTTTGGTGGGCTTATTTCCAGCTTCAGTGGTGTGTCCAGCCTTGAAGGGGTTTAGCTTGTGTGTCTGGGTACAGCAAAGGGTCTTTGTGAGGTCGATTTTCTCTTTCGTCTTCCCTTCTGTGTTGCAACGTGTATGTATTCACATTCCTGGGGAAGAACTGAAACTCGTTTTAGACAATGAGCTCTCAAAAAACGCTAAGCAAAGGCACATTAAGATGGCTTTTTTGGGTGTTTAAAATGTCTCTTTAGTTTTAATAATACAAAACAAAAAATAGACACGACAAATAGAGTAGCGAGGTCGTTACTGCGAGCCGCAGAAACCCATTGGGTGCACACGCTTGCTGCAAGCAACATTGGACAGCGCAGTGGCAGAAAGCGCTCGTGTGAAATCAAACCTTGCAAACCGTGTTGCCGCGTCTCTAACGGCAGCAATTTTGGCCGTGGACTCGCAGCACGCGGAACGTGCTTTAGGTGAATACCGTAGTTTCGTTTTCTCGATTGATTCACGTCCTCAAACTTGCCCAAGCACATCAGACAGTTGCGACCTGCTTTATTTTCTTGTCTCGTGCGGAATGTCACAGATGCTGTCGCCGAACAACGTGGCCATGTACGGCGGAATGTGCGCCCTGGCCTCCTTCGACCGCAACGAGCTCCTGCGCAACGTCATCTCCAGCAGGTGAGGAGGTGGCTTTCGCCCGAAATCCCGAGGGACAAATTTCGGAAAAGCGGTGTCTGGGGTGCCATGAGCGTTGCCACACAGCGGTGCATCGCACTGAAAACTGTGGTTGCCGACTTAATGGGGACGACGGGGAGGTGTTTAACTCGTCCTGCCTACGGCGTCTTCGGGAACACTCCACCATCTTTCGAGCCCCGAGCGTGCGCGTGCCGTCAAGGCGCACACACGCTGTTCTCGTCCTGTTGGCGATCGTAGCCGTGTCATAGTCGCACGGAGTACTCTGCTCCGAACGCAGGCCTTTTACTGGCGGTTCCATGTTCTTTCGAATGGCCAACCCTTGGTAGAATTTTCTGCCTGTCGTGAGCTTATTTAGTTCCGTTTTCCTCCCTCCTTTTAACGAACAAATGTCTTTTTTTTTTGCTTTTTGCACGGAGGCAACTTTGAAAAGAGATACCGTATTTACTCGCATAACGAACACACTTTTTTCCCCGAAAAATTACACGGGGTAACATTTTTGCATTTACACACTTCGTGCAAATGTCATATTAGGTGCCAATATGATGCGGCAAGGTACTGTGGCATGTCTCCAGTGGTGGAGGCGCACCCACAGCTGGTCGGGGCCGCGCCACAATAACCATGCTTTATAAATTGCAAGCCCTTTTATGGCGCTTTTTGGGGTGCCTTTTGCTGAAAGAAAAGTGCCCTACAAAGCTCAGTCAGCACGAAAAGCAACTCGACCGTTCTTAGGCGATATATACTGCTAGTATCCGGCGGGCACGCTCGGGTATATCCGCGACTACGCGTTTAAGAACTCCGCGTATAAGAACTCTTATGAAGTCCAACCCCCGAAGCCCGCTCCCATGGATCAAGTTTCGTTCACGGAGACGAGGAATCGTACGAAGTGCAACCGCCGACCCCCCGAAGCCCGCTCGCACGGGTTAAGTTTCATTCACGGAGAGGCTAGCAGACACTCTCAGCCTACAGTGCAGGGTGCACCTCGCTGTGCCGCTCTGTTACGGTTTAAATAAACCCATTTACCCGGAATATTGTCACGAATGACGAGTGATGAGGCGACAATAACTGAAGAAACTAAACGTTTAATGGGGCGAACTTGTGCCCAAAAATAAAAAGGGAACAGAAGAAAGCAGAGCGTCGCGGGCGTCGAAGTCAGCGTGACAGCAGAGTCGAACGCTGGGGCGAAACTGACTCCGGCTTGCCACGCGGAGCCACTTTTGTATGTGCGTGGGCTTGTGGAGCATTCGACGTAGAAGGTTTGGTGCGTAGAACATTATAACCTCGAATCAGCAAGACGGTTCTCGAATTTTTAGAATACTAGTCTGCAGGAATAAACAAAAAGATGCGCCGCTTCCAGGAATCGAACCCTGGCTTTTCGCGTGGGAGCCAGGTACGATAACCGTTAGGCCACGCGCGCGCGCTGCCTACTTGGTTAGCTGCGCGCACGGCAATACTTCCTCCTTTAAAAAGTGCATTGCCCCAATGCAACGCAAAACAAAACAAAATAAAATAGAACGATAAACTAAAATGTCCTTTGGAGCACATAAGGTCCACAGTCCTATCGAGCGTAGTACAGCTTCAGGCGCACGACGTGGATGACCTCAGGTCGTGGTGGGTGGCGTGACGATGTTCGTGTTCCGTCGGGCATCGCCTCGTAGTTCAGCTCGCTGAGGCGACGAAGTACCTTGTATGGCCCAAAGTACTGTTTCAGCAGTTTCTCACTGAGGCCGCGGCGACAGATGGGCGTCTGCACCCACACCCTGTCTCCGGGCTGGAAGTGAACGTCCCTGCGACGAAGGTTGTAGTGGCCCGCGTCGACGCGTTGCTGGTCTTGAATCATGAGTCGGGCAAGCTGGCGGAGTTCTTCGGCGCGTTGAGCAACTGCCTGGGCGTCGTCGCTTTCATTGTCAGATGGCTCATGGGGCAGCATTGCGTCCAGCATGGTAGTTAACTTCCGACAATGTGCCAGCTGGATAGGTGAGAATCCAGTGGTCTCTTGAACCGTTGTATTGTAGGCGAACGTGACGTAGGGCAACACCTCGTCCCACGTCTTGTGCTCTACGTCGACATACTTAGAGATCATGTCGGCGATCGTCTTGTTGAGTCGCTCAGTCAGCCCCGCTGGTCTGCGGGTGGTACGCAGTGGTACGACGATGGCTGGTGTGACTGAGCCGGAGGATTTCTTAGGTCATCTGTGCCACGAACGATGATTCGCGATCTGTAATCAGAACTTCGGGAGCGCCGTGCCGGAGGACGATGGGCTCGATGAAAAACTTGGCGACTTCCACAGCAGTCCCTGAAGGAAGGGCTTTCGTTTCGAGGTACCGTGTGAGATAATCGCTGGCGACGATTATCCAGCGGTTTCTCGACGTTGACGGCGGAAAAGTGCCAAGTAGGTCCATTCCGATCTGCTGGAACGGTGCGGTCGGGGGAGCAATCGGCTGCAGGAAATTAGGTTTAACCACTTTCACGATTTCACTGTCCGAAAGCGGACCACAGACGACGACTTGTTTGTTGACATCAATGCATCCGATAGACGAAGAATGTTCGGGGCTCGGCGATTCCTTGACCCAAGCTTTGTCAAGTGTGCATGACACTCGGTTTCACAGCTGATCACTTCCGTAACTTAACTACCGCAACCACACACTTGCGGCCATTACGAGAGCGGCTTGGCTTGGCTCGACTTGGCCTGACCAATTGGCGGCAAAAGAAAACTGGCTTGGTGGCTTGCTAAATTGGACGCAATTCGAGACTCGCGGATCCGAAGATTGGAGGTGCATTGATCACGTAAGTGAAAAAGAAGTCAAGATATTGAGTGTGAAGTCGTTATATTTGGGGGGGGGGGGGGGGGTGTTCATTACAGGGGGTAAAATTTTTGCATTTACACACTTCGTGCAAATGTCATATTAGGTGATAGGGATGAAGATTTTGATAGGGATGAAGATTTTGGCCTTTTGTAAAAGGAGCATGCAGAACGCACATTATTTAAAGGAGCATACAGTAGACTCTCGTTAAATCGAATTCCAGGAAGCCACAAATTTTGTTTCAATTATCATAAATTCATTTAAATAGGATGCAAGGCAAATATATGATCTGCCACACGAATGACTACGCATGCAAAGCAGATATTTGATGATTTCCTCTAAATAGGCCTACTGATCATCAGCAGGTAAGCCACATATAAAACATTTGTGAAATGTATGACATAAGTATAGGTATCCCCCAAAAATGTTGTTTATTGTGGACTCTTTAGGCAGCACATGACAACTCAAAACAAAATTAAGTTTGGTCATCAGGCCGAGAAGTTGTCTAATGTGGAGTATTAACTCTTTCCTGACCGTGCCCATAGACCATCACCGGTGATCAATGGTTTCAAAGCGCTGTCAAGAAATTAAATTTAGTGCATAGAATTATATTCTACAATCTTGTGGATAGCCAAAGAACTGTAGTTTCAATTTCAACGTGGGTTTGAGCTTTATCACAGGCTGGTGGGCTGTCTAAAATAGTCTTGGGAATGGTGGTTGCACATGTCTAACACGGCTAACTGCTACGAGTCTTCGTAATAAAGATGGCATTATTCAATAAATTCAACTCTATTGTGGCATATTTAGTAGAGCTCAAGAGCTCTGGAAACACTTTAAATGATGTTATGGGCGTCGCTTAATTAACAGATGGCTGTCGGTAAGCATCACTATAATTTCCAATGCTGTCCTGAGTCTGCATGCACGTTTTATGTTCCCAACAAGGCGGACCAAAATGCTAAATATTTAGGAACTGCAATCAAGACCCATCACATAATGAAGGTAGAACACAAAGAAAGCAATCTACTGGGCTTGTGAGGTGTACTATCTGTGTTTCCCATATATAAGCATTCCTTCATTGAAAAGCGCACGTGTTATGGAGGCTAACTCTCCGACGAGCCAAAAGTGCACTTAACGGGGGCTCAACAAGGGCACACATGAGCTATGAAAACGGGCACCACATGAAAATTTCCATAGCAACTTGCACGGACGCTGTGACGTGGCGGCACGGCATAGGTGCACATTGCAGCATTTGTGCAAGTTGTTATGAAAACTGCTGTGCGGTGCACATTTCCATCATTCATGTGTCCCCTAACTCTTCCCTGATCACAGGAAAAGTAACAATTTTCAAAGGATTCGTGCAAACAATTTTATTTTCCTAACTAATTTGCGTATCGAGCAATATGGCACATCAAATTCTGGCCAATTAGTTGTTTGTTCAAAACAACCTGAGGTTAGTATAACGTGAGAAGATTTTAAAACATTATTGTCTGAAAATACAATGTGTGCACGGAAGGCGTATAAATGCCGACAATTGTGCAGCTACTCTAATTAAACATCAAATAGAAGAAAAATTCAGAACATACAAAATGTGCTCCACACTCACAGCTATAACTTCTGAAAGTTAGTGGGTGGGGGGGTTCCCCTTTCCTTCTTGTGGGTCAGCCTTTATTGGTGAGGCTGGTCAAAGGTTTGCATTCCCTGAAATTCCAAAGAACCACTTGCATAGATACGTCTGCATGAGTTTGTCTTCCTTTCTAGGGGCAAACCAATCTCATGTTTTGCCTGCCTTCCAAGAGCACGCATCTTCCTAACGTATCACAAAAAAAAAATATTTAAGAATAAAAAAAAGTTTTAATTGTAGAAGTTAGAGAGGCGAGATGTTCCGACCTCAATGCAGCCTTTACACAAATTTTGTTCTCGTTGCGTGCCACGTGTCTACTACGTACGGGCTGTTGTGTACCGGTGTGTGTAAGGTTCCCTTTAATGCAAAGAGTCATACTGTCAAAAGAACCAACGAAAATGCCCAAAATACTGCACTGTGCCGCAGCTCGTTCAAGCTGTTCCTGGAGCTGGAGCCCCAGCTGAGGGACATCATCTTCAAGTTCTATGAGTCCAAGTACGCCACCTGCCTCACCCTGCTTAACGAGATCAAGGTGGGTCCGAGCGGCCTTACTTGCACTTCTGCCAGCGTCTGCAAGCCGCGTGCTTGTGAGGGCGTGCCTTCCCACGGCGCGATCGTGCCCTGCAGAGAAGCGCGGCAACACAGTGCAGAAAGCACAGCTGTTACCCACTTTTTTTTAAACTAAATGTCTGCTCTACAGAAAAGCAATGCTACCCAGTTCAGTATAATTCAGCTATCGGTCGATTCTGTCCCGTGCATTTGTGTATTGATGAGGAGTGGGACAAGAAATGTGGCTTGGACCACTTTCAAATGCTGTGGAACATTTTTTAGAGCGCAGCTCTTCGGTGCCCGTTTCCGGCTTGAGCGGCGTCGGCGTCGGTGTAACTGCGCAGTGCATTATGGGAAATGTCCCATAATGCACCGCGCGAGCCCCCCCCCCCCTCCGGGGTCACGTGACCTTGGGCGGGGGGGGGGGCACGTGACTCCCCCTTCCCGAAGTCAAGTGACTCCCCGGTCACGTGACTCCCCTGAGGTCACGTGACCCCCCCCCCCCCCCCCCGATGACGTCATCGTCACTGATGACGTCACCGGCATCATCATCATCATCATCACTGATGACTTCACGAGTGACATCACTGATGACGTCACCGGCATCGTCATCGTAATCATCACTGATGACGTCATCAGTGACGTCACTGATGACGTCACTGGCATCTGCATCGTCATCGTCATCATCACTGACGTCACTAACGACGTCATCGGTATCCGCATTGTCATCGTCACTGATGACGTCATTAGTGACGTCGCTGATGACATCGGCTTTGTCATCGTCACGTGACCCCCCCCCTGGTCAGTTGACCCCCCCCCCCTCCCGGTCAGTTGACCCCCCCCCCCCCCCCCCCAGTACCCTTCCCTCCTCCTCCTCAAGAGCTGCGCTCTAATTCGGCATTATAGGGAGTTGGAAATGGCTTTTGTTTTTTTTCCTTCACTACAGTCATGTTTTACGAAAAAGTGATGCTATATATATGGAGTAAGGGAGCCCAGCTGCATTCTGCCCCCTGCGGCACCACTGCACATTGCAGGGAAGCTAAACAGTGCAACGCGGGAAAGCGGTGTGTTGACTAGCTTCCGTGCGCTGCAGTCAAGGGCTGGTATGCTCTGCAGGATGACTTGGCTCTGACCTGTTTTCCTGCTGTACAGATGTGTACGACTGAGGAAGCCTTGGGCTGTTCTTCATAAACGAAGGCCTGCCTTCTGTTCACAGTTCGACGGTGTTGCCGCTTGTCCGACGGTCTGGGTTCTCCCTAGAAATTCTTGAGATCTGGACATCTGACAATATTCAAGGTGTTGTGGGGGGGGGGGGGGGGGTAATTGCTGAAACTTTTAGCGTTCTCGGCACTTTCTCTGCCACACAGCAGTGATTCCGTTTGCAGGGATTATGCAGTTTTGTTGCATAGTGCCACACAAATCGGCCGAACACAACAATCTGGGGCGCCTTACGTTTTCAAACTCTGCATTGTCTGGTTCAGCGGAAGCAAAATATCGAGGTGAGCTGGACATGGGGGAGGGACGGGCAATCGGCCAGACAGGTGGGCGGCAAACCCCCTGTCGCCCACTGTGGGGAGAATCCTGCCAATGACTTAGCTGCTGTTACTAGCTGCTGCACACAATAGCCAAAGCTACTGATAAGACTGCACAGCTGATGTGCAAATCATCAATTTGAACAGTTCCTTGACACTTGTCATTCTGCGACTGATATAAATCTTGTACCATGGACAGGACAACCTGCTGCTAGACCTCTACCTGGCACCCCACGTGAGCACGCTCTACACCCAGATCAGGAACAGGGCTCTGATCCAGGTAACTCTTTCGGAAGTTTTGAATATCAAAAACTGTTTCGTTGGTTTTCGGCAAGTAAGTTTGTGATTACTTTATATTTTATAAACCAGGCGAGAAGTTTTAAGCTCCGTTTGATAAAAGAATTCCTCTATCAAAACGCATCCGTTTTACTAGAGGTTTAGAGATGCCACGAAAAATGTTTTCATTTCGACAAACTACTGCTCTTTGCAATTAAAAAGCATGGTATGTCTTTCAACTTTTGTATACTTCCAGTAGTTTTTCCTCGGGCATAAGAGTGATGCAGACATCTCGGACAGTTCTTGTCTCGTGGACCTAGTTTTTTTCCATGATTCCTTTAAGAGATCATGGAAAGGGAGATCCCTTCATTTCTGGGTTGTACAAGTATCACAAACAGATTATGGCCTGATCACAAGGGCACTACCAACATTATTGAGCTCTTTTGATATTTTGCTTTCATTTTGATATAGGATCTTGCAACATTTGCGAGATCAGGGCATATTTATATCAAAGTACCAATTTGATACAGTTATCAATTATCCGCTAGATTTTGTATGTGTGTGTGTTTAGCTCAGCCTTTGATTTATGTGATACCTCGTGCATTTCCTTTCTTTTTTTATCGTCTGCTGTGTGCCTGTAAGGAGGCTGAAGACCCATCAAGCTGCTTGTACAGCTTTGTTCTTCGGCTCCCACTGTATCTATATGGTAGAATAAAGCTATTATCATATTATAAGCTCTAGAGACTTTCAGGTGGCCGTAACAGCTACCTAAGGGAGGGCCGTGACGTTGCTTCCCCCGCAGTATTTCAGCCCGTACCTGTCGGCGGACATGACCAAGATGGCGTCCGCCTTCAACACCACGGTGGCGGCCCTGGAGGACGAGCTCATGCAGCTCATCCTGGACGGGCAGATCCAGGCCAGGATAGACTCCCACAACAAGGTGTGTCTTGCGGACATTTTTTTAACGAAGATTGTTTGAAGGCAGGGATTCCTGAGGGAACTGTGATGCCACGAAGAACTGTCACGTCCCTGCCAAATTTAGCTAATGGTGGTGACGCGACGTTGTCGCCGAGACAAACTTTTTCAGATTTTCAACTGCCGTAATATTCCGAGGAATGGCCCGCCTAAATGTGAAAGCAAATCGGGTGAAAAGGAAGAGTGAGCTAACTTGCAGCGTGCGATTGAGACCCATAATGAGAGAAAGAAATGCAACTTTTTTGTGGTGTGTGACCTGCCAAACTTGTTTTCACAGATAGCAAATTGAGTCAAATGTAGGGGTGGTTTATCTTTGTGCGGGCAAAGCATCTTTCAGGCTATTATGCCAAGCTTGTATTCACCTCAAAAAGCATAGTAGTAAAAAAAAGTCTGGCTTCTCGCGGAGCTTTACTCATTCACTCCTTTATGCGGCAAATTAAGACATACAGGGGCAAATTTTAGATTAGCTTGCCATTGTTTTATCAGAATGTGCAAGTTTCAAGTTTCAAGTTCCGTAGTTTCTCCATCCGACAATCGGATCTTTTAAGAACTGCTTCGTGTGATGCACAGATAATGCGGAAAACATTTTTTTTCTCGGCATGATGACGTGCGAAACTGTCTGCTTTCTTACCTGCTGGCTTTCGCCTGTCGTCCCTCGTTGTCGCAGATCCTCTACGCCAAGGACATTGACCAGAGAAGCACAACTTTCGAGCGAGCGCTCTCCATGGGGAAGGACTACAAGCGGCGGACAGCTGTGAGTTGTTGTCGTTCGAGAATGTAGCTCGAGCTTCGTTCATATTTGACACGAGGTTTGTTAAAATTAAATGCGTCCCCTTGTTCTTTACAGGCGCTGGTGCTGAGGTCCGCTATGCTCAAGAACCAGATCCATGTGAAGGTGAGCATCCAGGTAGGGCCGGGCCGTCTGCCTTGAATGATGATAAAGCTCTCTATGATAAAGGTTGTTTTGTAGCGTAAGCTACACTGGCCGAGGTTGAGCAATTTCGCTTGGCTCCTGAAAAGTCGTGCCGCATATGCGCGAGGAGCAGTGACGTCACACATGTCAGTCCCCGATGCACGTGCCGCGCGCATGCACCCGCTCGAGATCATGGCTCGCGCTGTCCGGTTGTTCTGGGCGGCAGCTTGGTTGCTCGATACATAACACGGCGCACAGCTGGCCAAACCAACATCGAGCATTTGGCATGTCCCAGCAGAGGACTGAGGATTAATTTGGACCACCTGGGAATCTTTTGACGTGCAACCGAAAGCTCGGTTACACGGCGCCTCCTCCGCAATAAGAAGAGCGGAGAAGCTTAACTTATCGGATCCCGAAGTAGTCACATAATGCGTATACTGTGTGTGTGTCATTGAAGCAGCAGTAAGCATGATAATCAAGCTAATCCTAGACAACCAGGAAAGCTAAAAATAACCAGCTGAACCTAAGCTTATGCTATGTATATCCTGGCATAGCCACTGCAATTTTTTTTTCCAGTTAAATGTTTTTATTGTGAATACTGATAGTTTCAGTGCTTTAGTATCTCAAATGTCTTAACCAGTGTCTCTACCGAATTTCAACTTGGCTTCACTTCGTTTATTCTTTAATACACACAGCACTTAAAGTCTCCGGTAAGTTGTGGGGGTCCTCTACAAACTATGGTAATAGGGGCACTGACACATCAAAATCATATTTTTTTTTATTATCCGAAACGACTGAAAACGATGCTGGGACATTACCCTCAAAATTCAAAAATTGGGAATTCAGTATTTGTAAAGTAAAAAAACAATTTCCAAATACCGAATTCGAAGTTCCCGCGCTATCCGCGCCGGTGCGTTGACGTCAAATATTGCGGAGTCCTGAGTCCACTTTCTTTCACGACCCCCTGCTGTTGCCATGGCGACCCAAAGCGAGGAGGAAAGGAGCGAGCGCCGGTAGCGCCGGCGGACCGGTTTTGAGCGGTGTCGCCTTTTTTCCGTTGGAGGATACAAATCCAGGAGACTGCACCACAACGGACTCCGATTTTCGGTATTTCAAAAAGAAGGGCCGTAGTGCGTTTGCAGTTGCATTAAAAAACATGTTTTAGGATTGCCGTTATTAAATGTTATAGAGATGTCACCTACAAAGCTTCTAAATTTCATGATTTTGACGTCACGAATCAAAAAAAGCGAGGAGGCGAGAGGCGGGAGAATCAAACGCCACAAATAAAAAGACGCGCGCGCGTGCAAAAAAATTTTTTTTTGCGATGCGTTTTTTTTTTTGTGTTTATGACTGCAACTTGCATCGTTTTAGACAATAAAAAAAATACGACCTTTGGGGTGTCAGTGCCCCTTAAAGAAAGGGATGGGAGGGGGAAGGGGGGGTCATATTAAATGCACACAAAACTGACTTGATTAAAATGTTTGTGCAACCTGGCATGTTTCTCAGGGAACACAATCGAGCAACAACGTGGCTTGAGATTATTTTTCTTGTCAAGAATTAGTAGTGTCCCTGAAACATCCACCATTTGGTTCCACAGGAAGTCCACATGGCTACTCACACAACATGGTTTTTCTTTCCCTTTAGAGATGGCCACCCATGAAAACTTCAATGGGAAAAATTCTAACATTTCTGATTATAAGAGGAAGTGCTTATTTATGTGTTTTCCCCAATGCCAGAGCTATGGCGGGGGGGAGGGTCTTGGGCACGGTGTAAGATAATACTCTTCAGGTGAGGACAGCGCGCTCCTCGCGCAGTGCAGATAAAGTTCGCTTAACACTCTCTTTCTTTCTCTCTCTCACTATGGTTTCAAGCGACTCGTCGACCCGTAGGCACGACAAAGACTGCTTGTGCCGCCTCGTGCTCCACACGCGCAGAGCTCCAGCGAGGTTATCTCTCGTGCAGAAATACCACGGTGTACCGGGGTGTCATGGCAACGAGACAATTTTTTTCGCTCTCACACAGTTTCGCCATTTGGCCGCCGGCGACACTGTCAGCCGCGGGCACGGTGGCCGCGGAATAATGCAGCCGTTCGGATGCCCGTCGAACGAACACTATCCGATTCCTCGCGCCGCGCGTTCAGCCCCGCCGTGTCTTCACCTAAAGAGTGTATCTTACACCGTGGTCTCGGGCCATTGTTTACGATCTGCGGGGGGGGTCCTAGGCCCCTCCCTGAGACTCCCCTGGCTGTAAGCATTGCATAAAGAATAACTTCACTCTACAGGATCTCCCCCTAAAAAGAATTTACTGGTTGTTATTTTTTTACCACAGAAATAAACTCCACATCGCCGAGCTGTCATTCTCTGCCCAAATGTAATGTTAGTGGTGCGAACTAGATGCCGAAGTTTCAAAACTAACCATTTATCGCAAATAAAAGTAAAAGTTTTTAAAACTTTCAACGTGAAAATGGTGCTTGTTTTTGCCCAGTTTCGGTATTCAGCTCCACATATTTAAGAGCTCCGTCGGTCGCCATTTTTCCATTGAAAATTTCAGGAAATCACTTCGTAACTTTCTAATAAGGTAACGGCTAGTTTTGAAACTTTGGCACCTGGTTCGGATTGCTGTTGCTACATTTGGGCGGAGAATGAGTGTTCGGTGATGCATAGTTTATTTTTGTAATGAAGAAAACCTTGTACATTTTACATTTGATTAGACTTTCTTTAATGAATGTGGGTCATGGATATGCCAGGAAAATGGTCAGTGTGGCCTCACTGGAGCGACTGAGACAAGTGCTGGCACTCTAACCTGCGGGGAGGTGTTTACTTCAGTTGATAAAATAAAAACCTTGCTACGTTGACAACACTCGTTCTGTAATTTGAACACGGCAACACATTATGATTGTTATATGTTAATAGTCTGGTGTGATGTTCACCGATTCGTGTGTTTTGAACCTACCCTCTGCAAGGTTTAGGGTTACGGGCTCTACTAGAGGACTAAAGAGGCTCTTGTTTTTGAAGAATACGCCCGTATCACGAGCATTATGTTCACTACCTATTAATCGTTCCCCAGTTACAGTTGAACTTTGATTTAACAAAACCCGATTTTACGAATTTTCCAATTTAACAAACAAATACGGATTCCCCGCGCAGCCTATGCGCAAGCTATCCCTTCCTCGATTTTACGAAGTTCCCGGTTTAACAAAATAATTAGCGGGTCCTGGTGACTTCGTTAGATAGAGGTTCAACTGTAGTAGTTTTCATTACTCGTACAGATTTATGGGATGCGACCCAAAAATTTGAGGAAACCATCGTTCCACATAAGCGGGTGTTGCAACTAGCCACAATTTTATATTTGCTCTATAGAATGTGTGCCCACCCTCATAGATTGTTGAAGATCGTTGTGGTCGGAAGCATAATTTCGTTGCTTCTCCCGTTTGGTTTCCAGAGCCTACCGAGGGACGGTTCCCAGGGAGCAGACATCAGCATGACCTCCTGCAACTGCACCACACCCCGTAACTAGAGCGCGGTCAACAGAGTGCAAGCTCCAAGGACTGCAGTCCGCTCGTTAGAAAGTTGAGCCTGCTCTGGCTGCACGTCGCGACTCTAAACCAACCCTTGCGTTGGAGGGCGGGGTCGACGGTGTTTGGTTTCTTTCGGAGGCTCCCATTTTTAGTCTCGTCTAGAAACAAAGGCTCGCACGTTTTTTGTGTGTTTTTTTTTGTGCCGACGAGCTTGTTTGTGAGGTTGCTCTTTATATTTTAGCGTGTTTGTATTGGAGTTTTCTGGAACGTGTTTTGGTGTTTGTCCAAAAATCCGAGGATTTGTGGGTGTGCGATGGCTGGATTCGTACGAATTAAAATCAAGCTCATTAATTGGTTGAGCAGTCATTCTGGATGGCATTAACTTTTTTGGTAATTTATTTATTTCTTCGATTTATTTTAATGTGCTTGGGACGTGACCCCTATCATTGGAGTTTTTTGTAGTAACAAATTTTTGGTTCTAAACTATCCTCAGGTATCCAAGGCCATGCAGTTTATTTTTTTTTTCCTGAATTCATCTAGGCGAAACAAGAACATATGTTTACTTAGATCGAAGTGCATGTGGCACAGTTTTTTTTATTTTAAGAACCGGGGTTTTATGTTAAATGCTTTTCAAACAGAACTGGATTTGTTTCTTTGTATTTGCACTTCTGTGACTCAGTGAGTAGTCCAAGCTGAAACAAGAACAGGAAAAAAAATACAATAGAATTGCCATGACAACAGTTTGATCCGTCTCAAAAAGAACTATGTTTGCCGCTTGTTGAAGTTCATATACCTGCACTTTTAACATTCTTGCTGATTTTCTGGAATAAAAGCCCGAAGCTTGTCTTTTCCGAGGCACGCCGGTTTGGGTTTATCGAGCTTCGAGCTTCCAATTGGTTCAGCTAGTATTCTTTCAGGAGGGTGTGTTGTACAAATTACAAGCCTGGTCTGCCTGAGGTTCTTGAAATGACTAGCCTGAGGTTGGACTGCAAAGTATTGCAGTGAAACTTCTATGAGGTGACCACCTTGCTCAGACTGGATCTCAAATGTGTGCAAATGTTCAGATGGGTACAGTTACGTACAGTTAGTATTTCTATGTTTACAAATCCACAGCATGCAATCTTCACTGCCTGGCAGGCTGGCACACACATATTTGTCACTTTATTGGAATTATCTATAGGCCAGTTCACTGTTTACAAAAAGTCAGTCCAGTGTGGGATGGTAACAGTCTAGCAGCAGATGCTTGCTGTGAGGGAGCCACTTCCACCAGCTTCTGCAAGAGATGAACATGCACAGTGGCTTGTGCAGACACCATCGATCTGACAAGCCGATCACTCGTATAATGTTCGCATACAATCAACTACGAAATTATAGATATATGCACATTTTGCAGTGCTGACTATTCTGCCCTGTTTTAGTTTTTGCAGCTGTGAGGAGTAGCGCCTGATTTTTTTAAAGGGTTCATTGGTGTCGCTAGAGCCCCTGTAATGGTGTATTTATCTGTTTCATTTAACCTTCGAGAACTGCGCAAGGAAAGTATCGCAAAATGTATTTTGGGAGGAAAACAAATGGAAATAAAAATATGGAAATAAAAATCTGCAAAAGTTAGTCCTAAGTTAAAATAAAATGAAGTAATAACAAAGAACATTGAATCAACACTTTTTAATATGGCTTTGAGGCGAAATTTGAGGTAGCTGTTCGTATTGTGTTGCTTAAAATTCTCTTTGAGAAGAAGTGGGTGAACCTTTTTCATGTGAAGGCGACACCAAGCGGCGAAAGCTTGAAATGGAATTGTCGTACGGAGGGGTTGTTGCGCTACCTCTTCTGCTTCCTCGAGTCGAGGAGGAAGCAAGAGTGGTTGCGCAACTGTCCTTCCGGACGGAAACCATAGTTTGAGTTTTTTTTCACTGCTGCGCGAGGAGGGCTTGCGCGTGCGTCGAACTCTTAGCGCTCACTTTCATAATGTAATGCGCAATCATGGTGACTTGCAGTTTTCACCACGCTTCGTGTCCAATAGGGTGCCTGAACCACGTCTTGTGACTTACATGTTTACCGCGCGTCTGCATTACAGTTGCCAGGTACTCGCAGAAGGTACAGCCCCCCAAAATAGCCAAAAAAACAAGACTTCGCAAAAGATATTTGAAACATTTCTTTGGAACACTGATGACAAGATACAGGCAGTTTCCGAGAAAAGAGAGCCGTGTTTTTCGGCTCGGGTAAATTAAGCATCGCAGAAAGCTCTGACTTTGTGAGAATGTGACGCTAGCGGTTGGGATAGAACGCTAAAGTTTGAGAACATGACGTCACCCGAATCAAAAGATGAGAGACTTGTTCCAAAACACAGAGCGCCTCATCGCTGGGTATTGCCACGTTATGCATTGTGGGAATCGATGGGAAGCAACTTACACACGCACTCCACTCCTGGTCCACAGTTTCCCAGAATGCAACGTGCTCGGTGATGGATTGATGTAAGTAGTCTATTGAGAAAAACTAAATTGTTCCTTGAGCCGATGTTCGGGTAAGCCTAATATTGTGAAAACACGAAATGGCATTGTAGGCGGCTGTAGTATCCATTTCAGTAAAAAAAAAAAAAAGCTTGTCAGCAAGAAAGAAAGCAATATCCTCTTGCTGACCCTTTTTTTTTTCTCATTCAAATAGATGCTACATGCTCCCACAGTGACATTTTTTGTGTTAACGATATTAAGCTTAGGTGGACGTCGGCTCAGAAAGATTTAGTTTATGTCAGTTATTTTTTTATCCATAGGTAACGTTATGTCAACGTTCTATCCCAGTCGCCAGCGCCACATTCTCACGGAGGTCGAGCTTTCTGCAATGCATAGTTTATTTACCCGGGCCAAAAAAAACAACAACAAAAAAACATGGTTTTCGTTTCTCAGAAACTTCCTGTACATGTATTTACAAAAGAATTAAAAAAAGAAGACCAATATTACTAGTTTCCAGACTCAATGGTGGAGCACGGGTACATCGCTGCGTTGTTAAAACGCGCCAAAAAACTTCAGATGGTAGTACTCAAGATAAAAATAATAGCGTCTCCGCTACTAAGACCACAGAGGGCCCGCTTATTGTACTTTCACGCTTGTGATTTCTATAGTATCCTATGCGATGAACAAGTCGTTTGCTTCTTACGCAGGAGTTGCTGAGACGCCAGAACGACACCGAGCTCTAATTGGCTTTTATTGAAAATAATAGTGGGTAGACCGCAATGCTATTTGCCTTAAGGTCTACCCCCTATTTTTTTTTTTCGATCAGCCAATAAGAGTTTGGTGTTCTGACATCATTGCAACCCCTGTGCAAGAAGCAGACGAACTTAGTTCAAAACCATGTTCAGGGCTTTGAAACCAAGTGGCTTGAAATTGTTTGAATCTCGGGCATGAAATAGCCCAATAGCCAACCAAAAGATTTTACCGCATACTACAAAAAAAAAGAAATGGCCAAATTGGGCTGACAACCCTGGAACCTTTTCCGCCTGGTGACGTCACAACTGTAGCGCTGCGGATCGCCACGATCCTGGCGGCGGCACAGCAGCGAAGGCTACTGCGGCAGATACCCGTTCTGCTGCAGTTCGCTCTGTAGCCGACGATCCCACTGAAGCTCAAAACAGCCACGGGTTGGCGGGACCCTCCGACGACAGTGACGCCTTTACCAAAGTTGTCTGTGGTCCGACCGCTGCTGCGTCATATGCGCCAAAGTGTGCCAAGGTGCTCACCCCGCTACACCCTGCTGCATTTGACCAAAATGTGAGGAATATGCGACAACATTGCGTTAAAAATTGACGTGCTACTCACGCTACTCGGGCCTCGCCAGTTTTGATCGGGCCCTGCAACGCGGCCGTATCGTTAAGTTAAGCTTGTGCGAAATTTCAGAACTTTCGATTGTCGGCTCAAATAACATACTGTTCGATTGTATCCCCGTTGAACACCGAGAGTACTCGGGAAGTTTTGCGATGTTTCTCGTGTTTGTCATGTGGCGGGTTAGTTAGCTTCGTTTAGTGCGCTTCTTTCTGCGCACTGGTGCACTGCAGTGAAGTGACAAGCGTGGAGCAGGCATCACTATACTCCGTTTCACCTTATGTTGTACCGCAGCGAAGGCTAGAAGCGCGAGCTGATAGCGTTGGGCAGCTGCCCTTAATGCGCGAGAGCTTGTACCGCCGAGGTTTGCCCCAGAGCAAGGAGCTCGCGCTTGTAGCCTTTCCTGCGGTACAACATAAGGTGAAATAGAGTATAGTTCCAGACCGCGGAAACGAACCTAGATTCTGTTAGGTTCAGTGGATTGCAGTGAAGTGTAGATTAAGCCCCCAAATGTCGCTTTTATGTCTCCTGTGAAATATCCTTTGACCTTCTCTTTCCGTTTCAACCAGTTAAAAAGAAGGATGGTAAGTTTATATTGAGACTTAGTTTCGAAAGGAACGGCAGAAATTTTGTTGCTGTCGAACTGGAGGGATAATGTGCATTGCAAATGCCAACGCGTAAGCTGTGATGTTGAGAGACCTCAATTTAAATATGTCCAAATACAAGACAGGACTATAGTCCTGTCTGGTATTTGGACATATTGGCCATACAATCTGTCCTATAGGACAGATTGTATAAGCAACAAGAATTATGAAAAAAAAAAACCAAGTGACCTTTTATACCATTTCCCAATGCTATATTGTGCACTTTAATGATCAAAATTGTGTGAAAAAAAAGAACATTTCATACATTAAAACTACTCAATGCTCTTTGTTATTAATTCAACTTGTATCTTCTAGATATAGCCCGAAAATCCTAAATTCCAGAAAAAAAAAATCCGATTTCTAGTTCGGAACACAGTGCCCGACTGGAACACAGTGCCCTAACAGCTCGCAGCGTCGGCTGCGTGTGGACGTGAAACGAAGTAGAGCTGCCTTTGTCTCCCCTGTCTGTGCAAACGCGCTCGAACGCCGGCGTCCGGCGCTCGTCGTTTGCTTTCGAAGAGTGTGTAGTGGAGACAAAGGCAGCCAGCTTTGCGTCCAGAGCTCGGGTGTTCCTCCTCTCCCTTGGTCTCTATCCGTATTTGCACTGCCATAGCCTCCTCTATAGTGACAAAGCCTGACAGATCGCCACGTGAAGCGGCCGCCGAAATGGTAAAAGGTGGAGCGGAAGTCAACGAATGAGAGGAGAGCCACGTAACGGGCGCCCCGCTGCGGCGAAACGCCGAAACAGACTTCTCCCGAGTGATGACTCGGGCTCCTCCCGCTAGCGCTTTTTTTTTTTTTTTTTTTCGTCGGGTTTGAAAATCATGTTTCGGGTCCTCGCGTTGCAAAAGCTGTGCGCTGACGTCCAGGTTCCCCGAGAAATGCTCTCTGCTACCAGATACTGGCGCTCGGAATCTGCGACCGGGCACTCTATGGCTCCGTCGTCGAACTGCCAGGCTTTGTGAGTATAGAGGAGGCTATGGCTCTGCTTAGTTACTCTACTGCAGATCGGGCCACTCCGTCATGTAGGCTGAATGGCGGAATCGTTGTTGCCGCCACTCTGTCGCACCTGCATCATCTGGTTTACCATAACGGCTGGTCGTCTGAATGAACTAAAACATATATCGTGTTTTTAGAGGTCTACCATCGCTTGTCAAAACCAAAAGAATGATTAGTTTTAATCCTTGCTCTTAATCTTACTAAAACAAACATAAAAAAGCGCGGCACCGTTTTAAATGTTTGTGCCAGCTCAGCGTCCATGAGCACCGCGAGCGCCCGCGATGACGCACGTCTGTCGAGCAATCTTGTGATGATAGTTTTTTATCGCCAGTGGCGCTGGTTAAAACATTAGTCAGCAACAGGCCTATGGCGTCCTCGCCTTCTTTATATATATATATATATATATATATACACACACCGGGCATGG